AAGCTTTTTGCCACTTTCTGACATATACTGACAAAAAAAAAATGTCTGCAACATTAATTGAAAAATGAAATCTTAAACTGAGTTTATGACCAGTGTAACACGATAATGCTAATTTCCGAGCTGTAGCAGGAGCCAATGGAGAAGGGGGAAAAGTACATCCAACCTGATGGTGGATATTACTTTGAAATTTATAATTTTTTTGGGGGCAAGCCAAAGACAAGACTTGGTCGACTTGCTCTACTAAGTCCTTTTGTTGATCTAGTGATATCGTGTGTCTCATGTAGCGAGCAATTGGGTAATCATGCCTTGAAGCAGATTGGAGAGCACGACTTGGTTCCAGCAAGCGGAGGTGATTCACTCTCACCGAGTTTGCTTCCAAGTATTTCTTTTTTCATTTTAAAAGAATAACGCAGACCTAACGCCTCTGCAGCACTACTTTGCTCAGCACACTTAGAAGAATCCCATTCCAGCCATCAATTTCCTATACCACACGTACACCTTTGGGTCAAGGGTTAACTGGCCTAAACTCATTACATCCAATAGAACAAGGTGGTGTCCACCCAGAAGTCAAATGAACAAACCCGTTGAGAGCGAGAGCGGCACAACAGATGTTGCGTAACATGAGCGAGAGGTTGGACTTGACGATGTCGTTAATATTGCTGCGTTTGGCCTCTCTTCCAGGTCAACAACAAAGAAAGCGCGCCGGCGTCGTGCGCATCAAAAGCAAGATCAGCACCCCGATTCTCAAGTCGAGTTACCGTCCGGCGAAAAAACGGAGGTCGTGGGGCTGGAGTGTGTGCTCATGGCGGAGTCAGAGACTGAATGTGACACACCCGGCCTTGACACGCTTGGGTCGGAGTGTGTCATAGCCCACAGCCATGTCGACCTGCACTACGGAGCCGAGACGGAAATCATGACTGAGGAAAAGCGCGGTCTGGAGTTGGAGATCCACGGCACCGAACTCAAAATCCAGGGGCTGGGCACGGACCTCGGCGCCGTGGCCTGCGTGGACGCCATCGTGGAGACGGACCACGATTACATCAAGGTGGAGCACGATGACATGCACTGCTTCGCCGGCGCGGAGATCAAGACGTCGACGGGCGAGGCCCTGCTCGGGGAGGTGCTCCTCAAAACGGAGAGCGAGCACGAGGTGAAGGTGGAGTCGGATCACGGCGGCGAGCTGACGGTGGAGTCGGAGAACGGCGTCATCATCCACGAGGCGCACGGCCTGCAGTGCAACGAGTGCGGCGAGATCTTCGGCAGCATCTCCGACCTCCACCAGCACTTTGAGATCCACAAGGACCTCAACCCGTACATCTGCGTCCACTGCGGCGAGAGCTTTGCCGTGGAGGCCAGTCTCAAGCAGCACATGAAGATCCACATGAAAGAGAAGCCCTACGTGCCGCCGGGCGTGGAGATCATGGGCAAGGACGTCATCGACGCCTTCAGCCTCAAGTCCCACCAGATGATCCACCTGCCCGACAAGCCCCACCGGTGCACGGAGTGCGGCAAGAGCTTCGCGGCGGCCATCACCCTGCGGGAGCACATGAAGATGCATTCGGAGGACAAGCCGTACAAGTGCACCCAGTGCAGGAAGAGCTTCGTCCGCAGGAGGCACCTGAAGAAGCACCAGGAGGTCCACGCCCGCGAGAAGCCGTACACGTGCGGCCAGTGCGGCAAAGGCTTCGCCACCACCTCCAACCTGAAGCAGCACCAGAAGACCCACGCCGCCCACGCGGCCCACGTCGGCGTGGTGCTCACCGACAAGCCCCACCGCTGCGCGCAGTGCGGCAAGTGCTTCGCCGCCGCCGCCACCCTGCGCGAGCACCAGCGGATCCACTCGGGCGAGAAGCCGTACAAATGCAACATGTGCCGGAAGAGCTTCGTCCGCAAGCGCCACCTGAAGAAGCACCAGCAGGTCCACGCCGGCGGCAAGCCCTACACGTGCAGGCACTGCAACAAGGGCTTCAACCACTCCTCTTCCCTCTCGCGCCACCACAAGACCCACCAGCAGGGGCCCGTCTTCTCGCCGCCGCAGCCCGGCAAGCCCATGACCTTCGGCAACCCGCCCAAGCAGCGGGTGCACCTGCAAGGGGAGAAGCCCTACATGTGCCACCACTGCGACAAGGGCTTCAACCATTCCTCGTCCCTGTCGCGGCACCAGCGCGTCCACTCCGAGGGCAAGGGCTACACCTGCGGCCACTGCGGCAAGATCTTCAACCACTCGTCGTCGCTGGCGCGCCACCAGAGGGTCCACCTGGAGAACAAGCAGCAGCCGGCGCCGCAGTCGCCGCCGCTGCCCCTCCCGCTGCCCACGCCCGAGCAGTACAGCACCATCGCCTCGCCGAAGGTGTACCCCAACAACGCCTTCCCCAAGCAACACCTTCTCTCCGTGGAGAAGCCCTACCGCTGCAGTCAGTGCGGGAAAGGCTTCAACCATTCGTCCTCCCTCTCCAGACACCACCGAATCCATTTAGAGTAGCTCCCGCTCCTCCGCAAGCGCTCAACCAATCCCTGGCTTTTCGCGTAACTACCACCAACCCCGCCACGAGACCAGCTGGGCCCGACTCCTATGGATGTGTACGCGGTCAGGTCGGCTCCAGTGAAGAGGACCAGTCGAGGGAAACGGACAAAGACGACATGACCGGGAGGACTGATTGGCTATTCAGAGCAGAAGCTGCGGGGAAGCGTCGCTTGGATTCTTTGTTCTCCCTTGCGCAGGAACTCCATTACAAACACTTTTAAAAGAAAACCGGAAAAAAAAAGAAAAAAAGAGTAAGCCCGTCTGTTTTTGGATGAAGATGCTCGGCGGTGAGCACAGGAGCTTTTTCGACTTGGTTCAAGGCTAGTGACACCAGAACTCCAATTAGTCATTTTTCACCCTTGTCACCTGTGTGAAGCAAATCCACTGTAAATACTTATTGATTTCTTTTATAAATGTATAGGTGACTAGTGTGCTGTTCCAAAAAAGATTACATTTTTGATAGTAAGACCCACTTTTGTTTTTGTTTTTTTGTTTGTTTTTTTTTTGGCCCCACTTTCAGTTCAATGTGTTGCGGGGATTTTCAAGCAGCAGCAGCAGTTGAATTTGCCACCATGTATATTTATGAGGTTATTTTCTTGTATGTCTACCATGACGTGGTCTGTACAGAGAGCAATACGGGCCGACTTAACTGATGTGATAATGACGCGCAACCACAAGACAGTTCCTGACAGAGAATAAACACCTGGTTAGCATATTTCACCAGTCTCCTTTTCTTCCTTATTCCCGTTCCCCTTAGAATAATGACCCCAAATAACTTGTTTATAGACTATAGATAGCAGTTACTCCTGTTGACTATCACAATCTGATTTCAACGCTTGTGCATACTAAACAAAAATCTATGGGAAAAGGTTTTCCAGGACTTTGCATTACGCTCAACACGTATGTGTAAAAAAATCTTTTACAAACTTATTTTTTTAGATATGGCTTGGGTTATATGAAAGGAAGCAAAGATGTTTTTATGGGAGGGCACAACAAGCAATATTTTTTAAGTTTCTCCCCATTTTTTCCCTTTTTTTTTTTGCTTTAATCTGTAGCATAGTTTTTTTTGTTATAGCTAGGTGCCTTATTGCATGCTGTGTAGAAATGGATGCTGAGCTGTTAAAGGAAGAAAGTTTTGTTCTTTTTAGTTGTCATTCATACCCTTCATTTAATTTGATGTCAATGTCTCGTTTTATTTTTTGCTTTCATGTATACATTTCGTGTTTACACTGTATATTGTCTTTATTTTCTCCCGTTTTCTGTTCTTCTTGTAAATGGCCTAATTCTTGAGAGGGAAAAAAAATGTAAAAGAATCCATGCGGGCTTCTCTTTTAAGGGCAAACCTTGTAACAACTTTTCCCCTTTTTTTCTGAGTGGCACATTTATGGATAAATAAAGGTCATTGACTCTCTTCTGGTGTCCCGTAGAATTTGATTTTACAGCACATTGGACTACGATGGCTGTTTTACAGATCTGGGGAGTTAAAATCTCTGCTTGCTTGTTTCCCTTGGCTTGTGTGGGCTAATTCCCACATTCCCCGAAACATGCATGTTATGGGCAATTTAAAATGTTCGTGGTCGACCATTACCTTGTGGTTGATGTTCCATCCGAGGTCTACCCCCGCCTTCAGCACGTTCAGCAGGTACAGATTCCACTGTAGAAAATGGAAGTCACAAAGCATTAGAACTGACGGGTTTCACCGAGTTCAAGAAAACCATAATAAAAAGTGACGAACACTTGGTATAAAACAGAAAAATACCTTGGCGGATGTGATGGGCAGTGACCATGGGCGTTGGATTCCCTCGGCAGTCCAGAAGGTGTCGCTCTTGCTACATGAAATGGCGCTCAGTGTTGGGAGGTGTTTCTGACCACTCCCCCACCTTCAACCAATGCAAAGTAAGTAGTAATTCTCCGCAATTAGTCATTTCAAACAACACAAGCAGAGGAATTTCTGCGAATTCTCTGTCCCCAATGATTCCCGTCACGTTCCCACACTCTGCTGGGTTTACATTCTTTCAAGGTACGTTGTTGAGGTTCACTCTCAAGGTTGCTGAAGTGGACTTCAGTGTTAATCAGCTTTTATCAGCGGTCTGGGTCTCGGGCAGCGTCTGCTTTACATCGCTGAAACGTTCCTTTCTTTTTTTTAAACAGATGGCTTCTTGCACGCTAGTGTAGTGTAGCGTTTTTTGAATGTCCTCTTGTAAAGTAACGCCTAATGCAGTACACTGAATTTAAAAAAAGACGGCTAAGAAGCATAATACTGTATATCGACCGCTTATCCAAAACAATACATTACAAAAAAGAAAACTAATAAATCTGCTCTAAAAACGAATTAAAACTCATAAAAAAAATAAAACTAAATAAAAACTAATAGAAAAATCCCAAACTATGGGTTTCGTCACGGATTTTTACATTTGAAAACTTTCAACTCAAAGCCAAATTAGAAATGTTGACTAAAGTGAAAACACAAGTCGGCTGAATGTATACACTTTTTATTTTTGGTTCTCAAGTCATACAAAGAATGACCTTTAACCCAAGGAAAAAAAAACTGTAGACTAACCCATAAATGTTGATACACATTTTGCATACACAATGTCATCTAGGAACTTATGTTGCATATCATATTCGAAAATATTTACAATAGGGACAAATATACATGCAACATCTGAACAACCAGTTTTGTTTGTGAACAGTTGCATAGAGCTTGAGATGAAGGCAACGTGAAGACGCTGAGGTTCCATTTACACATTCATGACCGGCGTGAGCTGCAGCAGCGAGCTCTGCGGTCGAATGGCACTGCTTTTGGAGTGCAGTTTGTCCAAGTTCTGTAGGAAGCCCCTCCTCTTGAGACCTTCCAGAATGACTGTGTTGCTGGAGGCCAAACTAACGTGGGTCCTGCATGGAGAAGGGCAGGGGGCAGGGGGGGAGAAGATGGGCATATTTGATAAAAATTGAATTAATAAAGGCACCATTTCATTCCAACATGGAAGGCTGCCGAGTGAGTTCAAAGCGGTTTGCTTCCTCTGATTTGAAATTTAAGCACGGTGCGGCAATTATACGTCATTATAAAAAATCATTCCCTGCTGTCCAAATATTGGACGCTAGCCTTCATTACAAGGTGTTTGTTCAGCTTTATTGCCTTTCACTTTTTAGGGGAAGAAACACAAATTGGTGAAAGGCCAAATGCAGTAATGCAGACTGGAGGTGTAACGTCTCAACTGCAGTGTTTATTTTTGCCTGACTGACTGCAGCGGTCTCTGGGAAAGCCCTGGGATTTATTCTGGTGTGAACCGGGATAAAGCCAGAGGAGTGCGTTATTCAAGCTCCAGCCGCATTATAAAGTTTTACCTCTCATTCAGGTTCTGGTTAGACCACTGAGCCATTCCAGATATGCCATGCCTCAGAAGCAGGGTACACACAAAGCGGCAACTGGGTCGAGCATTCGGCTTCTCGTGTTATCAAAGTCAGCGAAAGCTCATTTACCGGATGTTTCTAGTGACTATCCAGAGGGATTATACGGTAGTGTACGGTGTTCAAAGAATGATGATTTTGCTCAGGAAAATGGTCTGGCCAACAATCTGAAATGATAAAACCTGTTCAATATCTTCAACAGCATATCCAGGAGTGGGTGGGGTTAAGTTATGGACTCCGAAATCGGAATAGGAAGGAACCTGAAGCTTGCGCTAATGACGGATGCTTAAAAAAACTAAATAATAAAATGCTAACAATCGGTATGTGTGAACCCTGCTTAAGAGAGTTGAGACATCGAATCATGTAAGAAAAAAAAAAAAAAAAAAAAATAGGCCTCTCACCGTGGAGAATCGATCCCGCTGTCTCCTGTGATGCTGTGGTTCTCAACCAGTTCCACTGCCTCTCCACTTTCCGTCGCCCCGGGCCCGCTTAGACCAGCTCCTGGCGTCCGGGTAACTCCGCGCTCGTGATAATCCTCCTCTTGAGCTTCCTTCGCATCGACCCCCCAGTGAGCGGATTCACCGTCACCCTCGTCCGTAGACTTGCGGACAGTCTCCGCATCCGATTCAGCCTCACTTGCCGGGCAGTAGTCAAAGATGCTACTGTCAAAGGCCTCGGGAGGTTCAGGACGATCCAACTCAAGGGCGGACTTGTTTATTCCTTCCTGAACCAGGATTTCTTTTTTGGAAATCGGCTCATCTTGAGGCGATACTTCACTCTGCTGACACCCCCACGAAGTTTCCACGGGTCTGCTTGGGCTCAGAGAATCCTCCCTATGACTGGTGGAGTTTCTGTTGATGGAGGTCACTTGTTGGGAGTGAAAGTTAGAGTCGTAATAGTTACTGCTGGATTCCAGACACTTGGATTCGCCGTCGTATGGATGGTAGTCTAAGTTGGGGTGGAGGTAGTTTGGTAAAATGTCCTCCTGGTTCAAGCACAGGGAGCTGCAGGTATCTTCATCCTCGTGGGGGTCTGTTCTCTGATAGATTCTGCGGTCATCCTCAATGTCTGTGACCGAGGGAAGGTCATCAACGACTGGTTCCATCACAGCCAGAGTCCCTTGTTCTGCACTGACAGCGATCGTTCTTGCGTCCGTGGTGCGTTGATGTGTTGAAAGCTCCTCGGCGTTCTGAGAGTTGTCCCTTGGTGGTTTCGTGAGTCTGAGCGAGTGCTTCCGCTGCAAAGCGGTCTTGGGCCAGGCCCGTGTTAGGATCGTGCCGGGATCGGCGTACGGCTCCGCGGTCGAGAGGCCATCGTTCGAAGCCTGGTTTTTGCCGTCTTTCAGTTGGAGGTTTTCCCGGCTCCCCGTGTGGCATCTTTCCCGCAGATGTCGAACCTTGTCATCAATCCGCAGCGTGCAGCTCTGCGGATACGCCGAGCCGTAGTCCGGTGGCAACTCTCGGTTGAACTTCACATCGGGTTGGGGCAGACGGTCGCAATTGGCATCCCTCTCCTGATGGTGTTTGTCTTCGGATGTGGGAGATTTTGCGGTTTGCGCTTCTTCCGCTACGGTCAGCTTGGTCCGATGTGCGTCCCACGATTTGGAACGATGGCTCGTTCCTTCCTTCCTCACCGACGGCCTGACCACTTTTGGTTTTCGATGCTCCCAGCCGACCGCGGCAGGAGGAATTCCTGCTTCAGGAGCATGGAAGGGGTTTTCAATGCGTTTCTTGTAAAGAGACGCACCCTCCGCAGGATCTTCGGCTTGAACCGGTTCATCAATTGGTATTTCCACTCGCAGCCGGGTGGGGATCAAATCCTCTCCCTCTGGATACCCGCTGGGACACACAGGAAGCTTGTTCTTGATCCTCTCCCGTTGCTTTTCTCTGGAGGAGTGCAACCGCCGTTTGCTACGAGAGTTTTTCTGAGCTGATCTTTTGGCTGACCTGGACGAGTGGTGGTGCCTCGGTTTTGAACTTAGGATCTCCGTTGAGATTCCCTTGTCCACTCCTTTGTCCAGTACCTTGTCCCCGGCCTTCTCCCGCCGCTCTTCCAGCTTCTTCATCAGAACCGTGTGACGTGTCAGGTTATCGACCGTCAGTTCGGGGTTGATGCGCTTGATGATGGCGTGCTCCAGATCACGAGGTAAGTTATTGAGATCATCTTCGTCTCTTACGGGCCACTCCTCGGGCGGGAACTGGCCGGCGAAGGACGCATACTCCTTCTTCGGCTTCTCTTTTTTACCCCCGTTCCTCCGGAACAGATTGAGACCAAACTTCCTGCACGGCTTGCCGTCTTTCTCTTTGCGGGCAACGGCGTCGATGGTTCCCGCGGGCTTTCTGACCTCGCTCGTCTGGCAGTCTGCCGCCGTGGAGGTCGACTGATGCTGCACCGAGGGCTTGTGATCCGACGGTCGAGGCCACTTTAAGCTCTTGGACGTGCATTCGCTGGCAGAAACGGAGACGGAATGCTGATCGGGCAGGGCAGGCGGAGGAACGGTGAGGGGTGGGCCGGTAGCCGGGACACCGGTAGAGGTCGGGAGCGGGTCGAAGCAGCTACAAGACTTGCAATGAGCCGTCGGGGGCGCCTGAGTGCTCTCCACGCAGAAGTCATTGCTCAGAAGGTAAGTGATAGGTGGCGGCGAGGGAGGGTCGTCTGCCGAGCCCGAAGTCCACCAGGTCTTCTCTCGGGCCATGTTGCCGGTGATGAAATAAGTCTGTGGTGTGACGATGAAGTAGCCCTCGCCGGTGTGATAAATTTTGCGCTCCTTGATCAGAGTGCCCAACGTATTGTAGAGGATGTCCTGAGTTGGGATGGTGATCCCTAAAAGGTTTGAGAGAGAGGATTTAAAGATCTGCTTAAGGAGTTGAAGACTACAGAGGCTCCTGGTTCACGATTGATGAGGTCGGAAGGGGGTCAGAGGGGATCGAACCTTTACCGTTGCCGGTCCCTCTCTTTGGAATGATTTCCCGAAACTTTCGGCAAACCCCCTTCTTGGTCCATTTTAAAAACTCTTCTTAAAGCACTTTTTTGAGGGTGAGGGGCTTTTGACTCAGCATTGTATTTGTGTTTGATTTGAATTTACTTTGTTATTTATTTCGTGTTTTAACCGTCTTTGGTAGAGCACTTCAGAGGCAGCTACGGTTGTTTTTGAAGTGCTCTTTAAATCGAGCCAAGTTGAGATTGTTTTGTTCCTCCTCATAAGCCGGAAAACGCTGTTGTTTATCAGTAAAAAACAAAAAACACTGCATTGGACTCTGCCAATTAATTCATTGCGTGTTCACATGAAAAGCCATTGCGACAATTTATATCTAGCTTATGGTCCATGTAATCTTTGTCCTTACCCGCAAGGCTAGTCAGCGAACTACTAGAAAGACTAGGGCACGCTAGTACAACTAGTTTTACTAGACCGGTGGCACTTTTGTTCTACGAGTACACAATTAATTTAAGCTTGTGCGCTACAAGTACACCATTAGGCCCAACGAGTAGGCATCTGTTAGGCACTAGTAGCCTACCGGGCCCTACGAGTAGCGCCAAAATGCCAAACAGTAGTTTTGCCTCACTAGTAAACATGTCGTGGTCATACTTGTGCAAGAATGACCTCCAGAAGTCGAAAGCATTCGAAGAAAAACATTATTATCCCGCGGCGCCATTCCTAACCTCGGAAAGTCATACATCGGGACGGTCGTAAACCGAGGACAATTTTTAACGGGTTTTTCCCCTCAGCTTACCTGGATGCGATTTGCTCATGTGATTCACCAGAGTCTCCTGGCTGACGAGGATTTGGGAGGAGTTCATGTCCGAGATGACCGAACACAAGACCTCCGCCAGAGGAATGAACTGGGACTGGGGGACGGGGGCCATCTGCAACGGAGACAGGTCGCCTGGAACACATCGCAAAAGCCGCAGATTGTGAGATGGTGGTCACGCACACAACTACACTTGGATTCAAACACCACCCCCCCCCCCCATACATTTGTCCACAAACCACTTCTTAAGCCCTGACCACGGTGGTCTATTTATGCAAGTTACATGAACCGTGAAAGTCTGGCTGCGGCGGACATTCCACCAGCGCCAGGACAAAACCACAAAATTCCACCACTCCCGCAGCAGCGGCCGCAGGTCGCATGCTGGGCGGATCACGTATCACGCCCTCGCACACCCCTGTGTATCATCAGGTCTCCCATGACGTGGAGGTCCACTTGGAAAAACACGACCACCAAAGTGAGAGAGAACTTCTTGACATATTTTGTCTTGGAGGAGCAAACCGGTCCCGTGCAATTTTGACCTCGGCCGAGTTTAACTGGCAGGGGCAGACAGCAAGTGGTAGATAAATCGATCCATTTCTGATTCCCAGTAGTTCCCGTGGAGTTTTCACATCAGTTCAAAACCACATGCCCCCCCCCCTCCCTCCCCAAACACAGCAAAGCTCCCGCTTGATGTAAACTAAACATTTACAGCGGTCGCATTTGAGCCACTTAAGCACAAGACGGGGCAAATAAACAACACATCACAAACAATCTGTCATACAAGTGAATGAATCGTGTGGCGTTTCGTTTGCGATTGTGCGCCGACACATTTTCTTAATCAATAAAGCAGAAAACCACGGGGGCAATGTGGACTCGGATAATTGTGTGCGCAACACAATTTACAGCACTTGAAGCTCATACGGCTCGCAGATGGTGGTCTCTCTTTTTTTTTTTGTCAGACTGATCCCGTGACACACAGACGGGGGCGCCCACCACATGCCCCCCTCCCACCCCCAACATTAATGTGACCAAACCTCAGAGCGGATATCTCAATCCCACTCTGGCAAGTCAGTGAATGAGCATTGCTGACTGGCCTCCTCATTGTACTGCACTTCCTATAGGAATGTGATGCATAAAAACTACACACTGTCAGATGACCAGCCCGCCTCTCCAACT